AAGCAGTGGTGATTTGTGAATGATCTATGTATATCTTACAATTACCAGTTACCAGCTCAACGATGGTAAAGATAAAAGAGAAAGGCTATATGATAACATCCTGTTGTTTCAGGTATAAATGTGCAATCCATTATCTTGGTTCCAGTCACACGCACATGCACTCACGCTGGTTCACCTTTAAAAGTAGGCCTGTCAGACCGCATGTTTTTTTCATTCTTTATCTAGCCAACTTTCATAAACCTTTTGCTGTATACGCGTGTTTTATATCTTTAAACGACACTGAACGACTGGTGCAAGAAGAGTACAACAACAATACGTATAATGTCTGTATACGTAAGTCTGCAATACCTGTACATGTCTATTCAGGAAGAAAAGTAAAGAAATGATACTTTCATATGCGTTATATGATACTTCCTTGTCTTGAGGTCTATCTTTCCTTACTACGTATCTGCTCTATCTATGACCCAGTTGGGGTAGTGATAATAAGAGAGCTAGGAATGATGATAATAATGGAGATAGTAATTTGGATTGTTCGATAATGGTGCTCATGTCAAGATTTATAACAGTAGTGTCCATAATCGGTAGTAATTGACGTAGGAAAATGATCATATAACAATAGGAATATGCCTGTTAACAACAGTGCTATAAGTGCTAACGTAAAGCATATTGTATTTAAAGAATAATATCGAAATGGCAGTAAAACTTACTTTGTATAATTTTAGTTTATTGACATATAGTGGTTGCTAGCCTGATGGCGATGATGATTATTATTATCATTCATCAAAATCCAATTGCTCGTTATATTATGAATACAAGGAACGTTAATATCGGGAAATGTGTATACAATTTACAGATACACATTTCATCTACAGTTGTGTGTACATATTCAAACACGCATGCATTTGTGTGTGTGTGTGTGTGTGTTTTAAATGAGTGAGATGAAGGGAGAAGGAGAGGGAAGAAAATCTGATTAACAGCGAAAATGATAACGCAAAAAAATCTGATCATTATAGTTTTCTCATACCTGTCTAGCTTGAAAAAGTGGTCAATTTCCTGTAGCAGCACACACTGTCATTCACACACACACACACACACACACACACACACACACACACACACACACACACACACACACACATACACAGACACACAAGACACACACAAGACACACACACACACACACACACAAGCACATACACGCAAGCACACACACTCATAGAGAGAGAGAGAGAGAGAGAGAGAGAGATAAAGAAAGAGTCAGAGAAAAAGACAGAGATGAAATTGAAGAAAGCTAAAACAGGAAGGAGGTAAGAAAGGCAACAGGCAAAAAGAGGGAAAGGGAGGGAAGAGGCTCGTGCCCCGCAACAGCTGCACCCCATCTTCCTATCAGGAAGTATCACGACAATATGGAGTTTGACGCCAAGATCAGCTGACTGGACTACCGGCTGCACCACATAAAGGGGCGTGTGGGGGGGGGGGGGCGTGGGGGGTGGAGGGTAGGGTGGTGACTCATTCAGTGGCTAGGGAAGATAAATAAACAGGGGGATCATAATAAAATTTAACAGGATAATTAGAGTTATGAAATCATACAGAGGAAAGATTTCTCTCCCTCCTCTCTCTTTCTCTCTCTTTCTCTTTTATGCGCGCGTATGTGTGTGTGTGTGTGTGTGTGTGTGTGTGTGTGTGTGTGTGTGTGTGTGTGTGTGTGTGTGTGTGTGTGTGTGTGTGTACATACATATACATACACACACATACATATATATATATATATATATATATATATATATATATATATATATGTATATATATATACATATTCATATACATATAGCCACGCACACACACACATATATTTATATATACATATATATAAACATAGACACATACACATGTATATACATACACATATGTGTGTATACATGTATGTATGTATATATGTATATTATTTAGTGTACTATTTTCCTGTGAAATTAATTAATTGGATGAACAAGGCCACTTCCGAGAAGGGAGTTCTCAAAAGAAACTCTAAAAGTTATTTATGTTGGGAATCCTGTTCATTATAGACGTCAGTAACACTTGATTAAGCCTTGTTATTATTGCCGCCGTCACACAGTTGTTTGTGACGGTCGTATTAACACGGCATAGGTCTCTCTCTTAATCTCTCATTCCCTCCCTCCCTCCCTCCCTGCTCCCTTCTTCCCTCGCCCCCTCTAACCCTGTTCCCTCTCTCCCTCTCCTTTCCCTCATCCCCTCTTCCCCCTCTCCGTATCCTTCCCTCAGATCTTAACTTGAAAGGAATTCCTGGGGCAATAATCATTACTGCGAGTGATCATCGTGTTTCCCAGGCTGGAAAAGGGTGGAGACATTAGTATTGTGTTTTGCTAGTCATTCTTCAGTACTTCCGGGCAGAGCACAGATCGTAACAGTCAGTAGCTCCACATTCCACCCAATTGTATATGCACATTAGGAAGGATCTATGTGTGTGGCAAGTGGATATTCG